AGTTAAACACGTGTTAACTTAAAAAAATAACTATCGCCTACCGAGTTCTCATGCCGATGCTCGATATAAATCGATTCCATTAGTATAGGAACACGGGAATTTTGAATTATTTATCATAGACGATTAGAAGAAGTGCAGGGGTGCCAACAATATGGAACAAATGCGGCATTGCGATAGGAAAAGGAATAAAAAATAGGTTGCTCCATCTAATTTTAATTTGGTCAGAATAGTAAACTTACGTAGTAGACAGTAACGTTGTATAGCGTTGAGTACCTAGTTAGCAGGTTAGGTCGTAAGAGTGGGTGAGCCATGCTTCGGCATGAATGGGTCGGCTTAACCCGAGTGATACCACTACCTCACAGAATACCAGCGTAAATAACGACAGCGTTGTGTTTCACTGTGTGAGTGAGGTTACCGAAGGTCTTCCCTGCCCTAATCCCTCAATCCCCTAATCCTCAAAGTCGGCAACGCACTTGAAACTCTTGCGGGTGTCCATGGGCGGCGCTAATTGCTTACCATGAGGTTACACGTCTGCTCGTATATCATCCTATCACATAAAAAAGGTCTGCCCAAAATCCCATTCGATTCTTCGGACGGCGTTCAAATACTTAATTATTTTATTTTTTGTGTTATGTGATGTTTCGCTATAAACTCATCCCTATTAAAACAGGTCCAATGCTAGAATTTCAGCAGTTACCTGTCAGTTATTGGTGCATTGTGTTCGTTTACCCTAATGGTACACATGAATGACGATCGCCCTCTGCCTATCCTTAAAAAGAATAGGTATTTAAAAATGCGACCATGAAAATACTGTTATTAATATAATTACCTACCTAGGTAACTACCTATTTGCACCAGTTGACATATTTCCCATATCTATGCATGTCTTATTACGGTTTTCACATGAAATAATTTACTTGGATTATAGAGATAGAATATTAAAACCGATCTGCTGAATTTAAAACATTTCAATGTTAAACGTACAACTTTGTTTACTGATGGAACGTATTTCTGAACGTCCGCACAACTGTCAAAATTCGTAGGTGCTATTTATAAACAATGTCTCGATATTGCGTTTTTAATAAAAAACTGTGACATAAACTAACCTTTATAAAGATGTTTCCTGTATAATAACATAGAATACTTATTTGTGCGCGTCATATCGGCGTTAATAGTGCAGAAATACATGAATAATATATGAAATAATGACTAACCTTCGCCTTGAGAGCGTAAACCGTGTTCTTCCTCCCATATTTATTTACAGCGTAAAACGCTACCCCGCCACCAGCCACACACACACACGTCGTCAGAATCTTTTTCAAAGAATTATCACTTTTCACATTACTAAAATTACGCGTTAAAACAGGTGAAAATTTTATTTTTCTAAATAATTTAGTCGAAGTACGGCTTAACGTGGCCATGTTGGTAGAACGGTGGATTGACGTGTGCGAAAGAGACAAAGCAAGGTAAATAAGGAAGATAGCGACAGTAGTTCGAGTAACGCATGCGCGCGTGCTATCCAAGTCTGATAACTGTTTCGCATTATACAATATACCTTATGTTAACTGTTATAAGATTTAATTTCACTTGCAGCATAATTTTGCATTCCTACTTAATTTTGGAAGTTCAGCAGATATTATTATTTTTCGGTAAAAAATCTACAAGTATTCTTAAAATACTATAAGATTACTATTATTAAGCTTATGTTTGGAAACAAATATTAATATTCCTATATTTATGTACATACTAATTACCTACCTACCGAATAAACTTACCTAACTACCTGCGAAATTGCGAAAAATTTTACGTCGTATATTAAGTCATATTTAAAGTCGTATAATTATAAGACCACGACGGTTCCTAGTTTATCTCATACCTACCTATATAAACAGGCTCTTCTTCGGATATTGAGGTCTAAATAACAGAACAGAGAAAAAAATAACACCCATTTTATTCTACCTACTTAGAAATCGATATCACGCACAAAACACAATTGGCCTTCAACTGTACCTACTATTTTATTATATATCAGTGTTATAACATCGCGCCCTCCAATTCTAAATTGGTGAGTATTTTGTGTTGACTACATAACATTGACCTGTTATTAGCTGCCGTGTGGGTAACCAGAGGACAACCCCTGCCCCCGCAACCTTATACTTATCCCTAACTAAAAAAAGGCCGCCAACCTACTGGGAACTCCACCTGTGTTGCGAATGACCATGGTCGATGTCGGTTCCTTACCATCAGGTAATCCGTCTGCTCATTCGTTCAAAGACAAAACCTAAATTGTAATACCCAGTTTTGACTCGGAGTACAAATAATCCAGCTACGAGCAATTAATATTGTTTAACAGCTGTTACCAACGAATACCTTACTAGTTTAGGTACCGCATCCATTCCATCTATTTAGTCGCGCAATTAAGTTGCATCCTGCATGGTATGTAACGAGTTGAACAGCCGACCCAAATAGCTTCACACTATCCATTTATTATTTGTAACGTCATTTGCACTCCAGCTAGTCATTAAGACCATGTAGTCCATGAACTATGAAGGACCAATAAAGATCCTTGTCTTCAATTAAAGGTTGCAACGCCATTTGACCTGTGATTCTGCCAGCCTCTCGTATGCCGTAATGTTGGTAAAATTGGAGTGGGAATATTCTTAAGTTTTATGAGTAATTAACTGAGATTTCTCAGTTAATTGTAATGTAGCGTGTCTAAAGAACTTGTGGCGATTAATTACTTAGTGAATCGTCATCTTATAGTGATAGAGTTTTAGCTTGTGATGCTCCTTGATATTGTTTAGGCTATTGGCTCCGGATGACGACTGGACCAACCGGCAACGACCACTTATCTTTTATGCCCCTGAGCTCGGGTTCAGCTGCTCTCATCCAACCGCTGCCAGCCGCCCTGTGGATATCGTCAGTCTACGCAGAGAACACCAGAAGAGGTACTATTGTAGCTATTGTATTCTAATTTCATCTGATGACATTTTTGGTACCTACTTTTGTGGCTAGAAACTTACTAAACATAACCAGATAGATGTTCTAAGCGAAAACAGTTTAATTTCTATTAATCCAGTTCCACAAACAATGTTGTTAAAGTCTGCAAAGAAAACATTATCGGTACGATGACACCGTTTGCGAGAATATAAAAATAACTGAAAAAAAAAACTGTTTCTCTACGAATTCTCACGTGATCGGAATGCGTAGGTTTAGCCACGTATTGGGCAAATGAAGAGTATGATTTAGATAGGTAGGTAGGTAAGTAAACATTCAGGATATGTTTCATTTTGATTTTTAATGTCTTATCCTCACATCTAACTATGAGTCATAACCTCTTATCGTAGCCAGGCGATGGAATCATTAGCATAAAGGGGAATAAGCTCGATTCCCAGATCGGGCTAACAATAAGTGGATTAGGTATAAAAATCTACTATTATCAAGGTTAAAACTGAGATTAAAAAATAATATCAGTGTCTATGGGCCTCACAGAAACAATAACAGCGTTGTATCATATTGTTTCACCATGTGAGTGAGGTTACCAGAAGGTAAATCCTTCCCCTCCACCATACCCATATCTCTTAAACGCATGGGCGGCGCCGATTGCTTTCCTTAAAGAAAATAGCTATTGCTATAACATGGTACTAAAAGGCTGGGTGTAGCAAATACAAAAAAAAGTTGCCTCGCGCTGGGATTTTCTTTCGTGTCGTGGGTGCGTTAACAAGCATACAATTTCACATACACATCGCACCCAGACCCAGAACAATTTGTGGGTCACAAAAACTGTTATTCCTTGCGGGAATCGAACCCGCGCCCGCGACACGTTGCGCCGCAGCCAGTTGCCCAGCCAACGCACCAAACGTGCAGTTTTTTTTGTGATATATGTCGGCAAAACGAGTAGACGGATTACCTGATGGTAAGCAATCAGCGCTGCCGATGGACACTCGCAAAACCAAAGGAATTACGAGTGCGTCGCCGGCTTTTAGGGATTAATAAGGGTCTCAGATATTTAAGGATTGGGAGGTAACCTCACTCACACGGCGAAACAAAACGCCGTGGTTGTTTGACGCCGGTTTTTTGTAAGGCCGTGGTATCACTCCGGTCGAGCCGAAGCATGTCCCTCCCACACCTACAGGTACATTGTTTTTTTGCCAAAGTATACACCTACGAAGTAAAATGATAAAAACCTTATGATACTACTCTCAGTAATGGGTACGATTCTATCGGTTAATTATAAGTACCTAACCAGCTAGTTTCACCCGCTGCTCGGGTCCATGTGATCGTAGCGTGATATTCTATATCCTATAGCACTCAGGGATATTGTAGGTAGCTATCTATCAGTGAAAGAATTTTGGCAATCCAACCAGTGGTTCCAAAGTTTAGCCCCTACATACAAACTTACCTATTTTATTTATAATATAGTATAGACTATACATTAACGAAATGTAAACAATGTACCTATGCATCTTTTTTTATTTAAAACTTGCCTAAAAAATACATAGATTTTGGTAAATACCTAATTGTAAGTATATAATTTTCAAAATCAGGTATTAATTTAATCGATGTTTGCTAATAAACAAAATTTTTATAATCTGTGTGTATTTAATACACTCTTTAATAGATATATAAAAAGACCAAACTTGTTTACCTTTAGTTGATCATATCATTCAGTTTGTTGTAGGTGTAGGTCTAACAATGAAAATTAGCTAATGCAAATGTTACCTAGAGCCGAACTAGCCAGAAGGTGAAGCATAAATACTTTATTACATAGGTACTTACAATTTGAACTAAGAATATCATATGCTGGAATTTTAGTATGGTGTTACAGATTCTGTATAAAATAAATAACAAAAATTTTATGTATCTATTTATCTATTTATTGTATGTACCTTAATACTTTATCTTTTTAATTTATTTCTTACCCTGAAGGAAAAATCCTTTGACCAACCCTTAACAAAATTATCTGCAACATAACACATCAATGAATAAAACCAAAATTTGGAAGGAAGCTTTATTATTATAATATTCTTTAACCATAAATTTATCCTAAATATAATTATTCCCGTTACTATACTTCTGTATCAACTTCGTTACTTTGGATTGGATCATCTCTATGCTCTACAACTTCTTCTTGTACTTGTATTTGAGTCTCAAAATCTATAGGAGGTGCAGGCTCAGGCTCTGGAGCCTGAACGGAGTACATTAGTACTCTTTTAACCGCCTCCGCATTGTCATACAACCCATACTCAGCTTGCCACAAAATAGTTGTTATCAATTGCTGTAAGTTCCCTCTTGTCCGTGGAGTTTTAAACTTTCTAAGTTTATTCGCTACATATTCTCCAAATACTGAGTATTCATCCTTTTTCAGTGGGTCTTCATATATAACAGTCTTTTCTGCTTTAGGTGCAACATAGAAGCCTGGGAGCCCTGTTGGTGAGGCCACTTCCCGTTTTATTTTCCTATACTTCATTTTCTTTCTTTTTGGTTCATATGTTTCAATGTGTGTGATCTGGTATGGGTCCTCCTCCAACCATTCTTCGTCAGTATTTCCAGCATGCATTTGTCTCACCAAGTTTATTGTTGCCTCATTACCTTCTTCCTGTTCTATGTCAGAATCTGTGTTTTCTAACACATCAACCTGAAAGTTAAATTATTGTTAATAAAGAAAAAATTTCAGTACATTGATGTTTTTAAACATCAACATTCAAACATATTTGCCCCTCTCAACTCCGCCCCTAAGACGACCCACTGACCGAGAATAAAGTTATATAAAACAGTTATAAAGATTCTTAAGTGGACATTTCTAGTGTATGAGTCGCAACAAAGATATTTTTTGGAGGCTTCTGTTGGTCCCTACATAACCTACAAAATGTAAAGTGGTAGTATAGTAAAATACCACGAATGCGAGTTATTTTACCTAGGAATAACAAATAACAACTAATATGCATATATCCGTGTTACTTTGTTATTGGCTGAAAGTTAATACAGATTTCAGTTCATTGGTTGCCACAACAACATTTTGTAAACATGAATAGCGTCATAACCTCTATCACGTCAAACATCTTAAGATCATGAAATCACCCCGAGTGTTTTCTTACCGCAGCACAAGTAAATGACTCAAAGACTTTACAACAAACATATAGCAGTGAATATACTTGAATTAAAATTATAATCCGATCATAACATGACACCAACACAAATAAAAATCGATTATTAGTTACGTCATTAGCAACAAGTTATCGATCGAAACTCTCGAATCGATTACTTGAATGATAATATGATATCAACACCGATCCCCGCTAATCGATAAGTTGTTGTAGTCGATAGCGATTCGGTTTCAATAACTGATAAGAAAACTATAACCTAATTATAACAATATACATAGGTACCCTTTGTATTTCAATTTTAGGCATAGCACTCGATCCAGCTGAATCTTCTTTATTAACTGATACTGAATAACGTACGTTTTTATCTTTGCGAGGCCGCGGCGTATATTTCCTTCGTTTAGGGGTAGACGACGATTGATTTGTATCATCATCATCTATTTTAAAATGGGTTTCATCCAATGTTCCATTGTGCGTTAGTTCCCACTGTATAGGGTGCTTGTTTATCAAGTGAGCCCTGAGGTTCGTCGTATTTCCAAAGTATTTATATTGTGTTTCACATAATTTACACATCACTGCCACACATCTATTGTTTTCCTCAAGCCTATCAAAAAATCTCCACACCACTGAGGAACATTTCTTCATGATTGAATCGATATTAAACTGATAGTCAATTTGCCGCCGAAAATCAGACAGATATTGAATTGAATCGAAACGATTATAGCCGTGTATCGAATCAAAAGTATCACGAGTTGAAAGCACTTCTTCTACAAAATGGCGATCGAATGAAACATCGAGCGACGAAACGAACCGAGCGAGCGACCTTCATTCGATATGCAGTGACGCTACTCGGTGAACGCGAGTTGATTACATTTACCAACATCTAAAATGCATTAAAATTCAAAACATGAACCTTAACACTCTAAACATAAGAACTACACTTACAGTCGCAGATAACGCGGACTCTGTCCACGTGATCTTTCTTACCTCCTTCACTATCTGTCTCTTTCGTTTGTATCAAAATTTCTTACCGTCTATCTCTTTCTCACGTATTTTCATTGGCCGCACAATGCTGTCACTAATCAGTTCGTAGTGCTGCCAACATTGTAAAAATAGGCAAACGAGTACAATCAATGGTTTGCGCGTTCCATTGACTAGATTGAGGTGTAGTAACTATTTATTTCATTCGCTTTACAGTCTGTTCTTTTACCTTGCAAACTATTTGATAATGGCTGTTTTTTTGCAAAAGAATAAATGCAAAATTTGTTACAGCCTAAACAACTATAAACAGTTTTTATGAAAAAATTTCAAGTAGGTACCTACTGTGTTTTCCGACATTAAAGAAACGGAAACCGTGTTACAAGGAAATGAGAGTTCAAAAAAGTTGGGAAAGAAAAAGTTACGTTACATTTTGTTATTGACTCCCCAGAAAGATCGATAGTGATATAATAATTATAAAACTGAAGTAATAAAGTAATAGGATAGGAGGTATCTCCATTAACTTGTTGGTAGGTTAGGTACAGATAAAACTTTTTGACGGAACCAGTTTTGCAAATTTTTATTTAGTGGAAAAATACGAAAACTTATAATTAATTTATGTTTAATTGGGAAGAAACAAAGATTATGTTCTAGTATGCATTTTAAACTTTTTCAAAAATGAAAAATGTTTTCAAAAAGAATCTCTCCGGCGGGGAATCGAACCCCGGTCTCCCGCGTGACAGGCGGGGATACTGACCACTATACTACCGAAGATGTGATTGAGACGCTGAAATATTGGTTCTGTTCTTTGACACAACATAATTTCAAAACGAGTGATTCCTTTCTGTTCATAAAAAATATAAAATGTCCAGAAACGAATACTTTTCTCTTTAGTTTATTTAATCATAATGTGATATTGGTAATTAATTAAGAATGTTAAATTAATAAAGCCAATGATTGAGAAATTTGTCAGACTAGGTACCTAAATCCTTTTTTGAGATTTTTGTCTTGCACATTTATGAATAATACTTTGATATTACTTACATATTACCTACCGCACTTCTGTCGGAAACATGTCTATGGTAATGTGAAAATAATATTGAATGAATCTGAGTCGGATATTTCTATTCGATTAAACAATCGAATCAGATTCGATTGAACAATCAAAAGATTGTTCGATAGAGTGGGGGCGAGCGGACCCAGATGTGTGCCGAATTATTTTCGAAATGAAAGATCTTCGTATTGTGCTTTTTGAGTCGTACTTAGATAGACAGGTATTTATATCTCACAAACAAAACATTTATCTAAGTATAGGTAATTTAGATAAATTGTGATATAATTATGCTGGACTACCTTTTGCCCGCGACTCCGATCGCGTAATAGTGACTTCCTGCAGATTTTGGTTTAAAAACTGTCCTAATGTACTTTCTCGAGTTCTAAACTATATCTGTACGGTACCGAATATCACAGAAATCGGTTCAGTTGTTTAGGCGTGAAGAAAAGACAGACAGAGTTACTTTCGCATTTATAAGTACCTAATATTAGTTTGGATTGCACTGCGTAGGTATCTAACGTGTCGCGGGTACGATTCTCGCACGGAACAACTCTTTGTGTAATCCACAAATTGTTGTTCGGTCTTGGTGTCATATGTGTGTGAACTTGTAAGTATTTTTGTCAATGATACAAGAGAAAATTCAAGTGCTAGGGGGACTAGGTAATCTATTTAATAAACAATTTCTTAAATTCTTTTATTTAGGTATTCTCTACACATTATAATTTTGGCTTTATGGTGAGTTGAATTGGATGAGAGATCACTGGTGTCTGTAAAGTTTGAGCCATGGAAACGCGCCCCGTGGTTATGACGTCACAGAGGACAGCGGCCTCTGGTTGGTGATTGGTAGGTGGTATATGTTTCACGTGAAGCGAATTTTTTTTAAGTTAATATTTAATACCTCGTTGGTACATAATACATGTACCTAATGATCATGATGTCCCATAGGTGTGTACCTAATCGAAACAAAGGCGATTACGTTCGGTACACAAGTACCTAGATAGTACTTTTTTTCTTTTGTGGTCATGGCAGGAGAAGTGTCGACTACACTGCTAGTGTCTGGACAGGTAAGTACTTATTGGAACTTATTTATTTTTCACCAGCTGCTCGGCTCCATTTGAACGTAGCGTATAGTATAGTATAGGCTATAAAACATTACGCTAACGTAACGCAAACATTACGCATTACGCTTACATTACCTGATTGCTATAGGCCCTATAGCAATAAGGAAGAATATGTATAGCTATCTATCAGTGAAAGAATTTTTGGTAACCGACCAGTGTGTCCAAAGATGACCCCCTACATATAAACTTAGTACGGTATAGATAATATTCTTTGTAGATAATGGAAGTAGGTACGTTTCTGTCAGTGTGACAGCTTTAGCAGTAGGTATCTACTTACTTTGTCAGTTTGTTTGACGTTTGTTGGGTGGCGGCAAAGACAAAGAAAACTCAGGTGTTATAGAATCATTTTTATTTATTTGTCGGTATAAGAGGCTGTAAAAAGTTATTGTCTAAAAGTTTCGATCAATCTTTCTTTTGGTTGTCACTAAGTAGGTAAATAGGTAAAATTTAAAAATTCTACTTTAGAAAAAAAACATCTAAAGATATTTTATTTCATTATTTAAATTTCGAAAACATTTTTTTTTGTTTAAATTAGGTAAGTATTCAGAATTAATTTTTAAATGTACATATATAAATGCACTAAGCAAACACGAACATTTCATTCTAAAGTATGTAATTGTAAAAACGTATCGAAATTAATTAAGTAAGTAATACTGTTTGACTCCTCTTGACATTCTTACATATAATTTTCGGGAAACAAGGGGTATGTACACCACGGTTACAAAGAGATATTCATATATTTTATCTACAAATTTATCATATTTTCCTCCGTTGGCCACAAAGTGGATAATCCCCTTATTTCTTGACAATATTTGACATTTATGTACTTGAGTATAGAAACTGAAAAAATAACAGAGTTAATTGAATCGGTAGGCAAACCCAGAGGGCAGTATGGCACATGGGCATTAAAATAACATAACACTCATATTTTTACACCATCATCGGCACATTTTTATGCAAACTCACAGATTCTCGCATATTTTATACTACAAAAATTCAATTATATTTATTAAGTTATAAGGCTGTATGCCTGGGCATAACCGCGACTCTTATCTGTCATTCCACGATCAATTAAAAAAATAAACTGTAGGTATTTTTTTTATTTATTGTCGACCAGCGAGATTGAGTTTGATAAACACGGCACCTCTTTACAAAGCCTGCAACATTACGTATAGGAGAACAAAATATAACCAATCGGTATCTGCTGAAGTTTCTTACAATCTCTATTCAATATAAAACTACAAAAACTAGATACTGTAACGGAGAACCATTTTTACAATACCGAAATACTGCTTCTACACTAACATAAAGATCGACAGGTATTCATTTACAATAGCGAGTCAAGTATAACGAATCCGAGAATCGAATAATTTATTGACTTAAACGAAAACGACAAGGAATTGGTACGATCGTGATTATTTTATACAAAAATCTTTAATTATAATGATGAGTAAATGCTTCGTTGAGTACGTATTCCATGTCGCTTTCATGTGATACCTAAAATATTATACATACATATAAATAAATTCAAAATATCATTCGTATAACATACGTAGGTACATTCATAAAGCTTGCTGCATATATTCACAAAAACTCCTGAATATCTCAGTCAACGAACATTTGTTTAATAGATTGTTGTCGCCATGTTTTCTCCCAAGTGTAATATTGTACCGGTCTTTGTACCAACCTGTTCAATGGACCTTATCGTAACTTGGAATTCAAGAGAAATTCAAAATAGACAGTCACTAATTATGGACTAAAACCGAAAGTGGGACACCTGTTTTGCATAATTTATGAACAAAATTAACCTTTTACCTTAGATTTACTGTTACACGGAGAACATAGTGTTGCAAGCAAAAAAAATGTTCGTTGACCAAGTACAAGAAACGCCTGCTACATTATCTGCGCACATAATCAGATTGCGAGGGACATCACTAAAGAGAATGTAATCGTGTAAAATCCATTCAATCACAATATTTGCAAATGCCTCCATTACACACTATACAACACTGCATACAGAGCACATATTGTTACCGAACGGACTTAAAAATATAATACAAATAATATTGGCTCACTAAAGGTACAAGCGTATGACATCCTACACATCTACATTCGGTCGGAACTAAAGGGACGAGAGAATAAAAAACATCAACTAAAACGTTAACAAAATACGACTTTCTCTATGGAAAATAAATAAATTTACAAATTAGATACACGTTTTAGAACTACTTACTAATAGTCACTTCGTCGTCGTTTAATGTTTATCACTACATTTTTGGACGAGTCGAAACGAGCGGGCTTGTACTGGGACGCGCATTGCGCAATTATAATTTTTATACAGCGTTTTCGTATTTACCAGCTCGAACTGGTTTAGTCCTCACAGCGGGGTGTGACTTAGGCACGGTGTCACCAAGCCACCGGCACGCGTGGGAACTCTATCCATGTCGATTATAGTCTCGAAGTCATTAATACACGGCCGCTCGCGTCCGACGATCGAATAACTTAGAATAAAATAAAGAAGCATGCCGTCCGCCGCACTACGTTATCCTATCATAGCCTAGGCCGAAACCAACATAAACTACATTACTCAGTCCAATTTTCAGTCAATTTCTTATGAAATTACACCTCAACACACGTATCTAAGTACAAAAACGTTTCGGAATTTCTTCTCTTCGTG